TTTGCTAAACCTTTCGAGTATGAAACATGAGTAACGAGGCTATTCAAACCTTTATTCTAATAACCAATCAATAATAATTTAATGATTAATAGATAAATTCACAAGCATTATCAAAGCAAATTGTTTTAACAACATAATTTAGAAATTATTCTTGTAATTAAATTATTTGAGCTAATAACCTCAAAAACATCACGTTTCGAGTAGATAATAAATATACATGTGATCATTTTGTGGATGCATCTATTAAAACTATAAAATATCTAAATAGTCCACATGGTGGATAAATTAATCCATATATATAACCTTAAATACATTCTAAAAATATTGGAAATTCAATCTCAATTTTACTTGTGATGGCTTGATAATCAATTTGCCTTAAAAACATACGGAACATGAAAATTCATTTAATTGAAGAATCTTCTAAATTTTCAATAGATGTCCATATGAATTTTTAATAATTTTTTACATTATGAAAGACACAGGATAACACAACTGATCATGCCACATAATAAAAGTATTTGGATTAGTAAACTTCTAGTTTACTATAGTATTTGTTTCAATCATTCAAATATTTGTAATAAAAATCAAAAGAAAAAAACGGATCAATTTGTTCAATACATATTTTCTATCTCGATATAATAATTATAATATATATAAGTATTCAATTATTTTTCACATTTGTTATCTTGATATGATATCAATTTAGATGAATATCTTTAAAACTCAACAAATTTCTATGAGACTTTAGAGGGAATAGTATATCATTCATAATAAAATTTATTCTTTCAAATAATAAGATATTTGCTCCTCTAAAGCGTGTAAATTATTTCACCGTAAGTAATAATATATCTCGCTCTTTTAGAACCTTTAAAATTTATCTCTTCAAGTAATAATATATTTACTCTTTTAGAGCCTCAAGAATTTATCTCTTCGAGCAATAATATATTTGTTTTTTGAAGCCTTTCTCTTTAGATAATAATATAGTCACTCTTTTGGAGCTTTTTATTATATTAATATTATCTTATATAATATTAACATAGAATAAATAATTAATTAAATATAAATAAAATAACTATATTCTTCATAAACATAAATAAATTAATAAATAGTGAAATAAATTTATTTTTATTTTTATGCAATTAACTAATAAACTAAAGGAAAACGAGATTTTACTATAGCTATACTATTTGAAACATTATGCACACACTCACATTTCACTATTCACCCTCTCACAATTTACTATTACTTTCACTATTCATAATTGTTTTTACACTTGTGGTCCTTGATATTGTTAAACGCATATTTCGATCCATATGTTCATTTGTTTATCCATTTTGGTCCCCGAGTGGAGAGAGAAGGCCGAGAGGAAGAAAGAGAAGGAGGAGAGAGAGATCGTCGACCAAGGTCATTTAGGCCACTCGGTCGAGCTAAAAATCCACTAGAGTTTTTTACCTTTGAGAGATGGGTTTATCCATGGTGGTTTCAAGCCATTAAACAATTAGAGGAGATAGATCGGAGACAAAAAAGGGAAAAAAAATCCAGATTTAATTTTGTATTTTTCTTTGTTTTTTTGTGTATTAAAATAATTTTTAAGTTTTTAGATGTGTTTATTGGATTTATTCCGATCACTTAGAGGTGTTCGGAGAAAAATGATGCCGGAATTCAATTTTTAAGGATTTGAAAGTTGACCTTCGATTTTCGATGAGCTTCGACGACCTCGGGTTCGTCGAAAGTTGCAAGTTTTTTTTTCCCCATAAGGAAGCCTGGCGCCCGAGCTCGCTTACAGAGGCCGACCCCTAACATATTTTTAAAAAATATATATATATATGTGTGCAAACCTAGTTGCAAGCCAACCAGCGCGCCTCTCTCTCTCTCTCTCTCTCTCTATATATATATATATACATACATATACACACATACGATCATCTTATTTTTATTATTTAAATTTAATTATTTATTTCTTATTAAAATTCAAATAAAAATAATTTTTTGATTTAATTTTATTTGTTAATAATTTTATTTTTTTAATATATAAATTTTGAAATGAAATTTTAGATCGTGTTTTATTTTTTAAATATTTCATTATAATTTATACAATATATTTTTTTTACTTTTTAAATGAAATGTTTTTTGTTGATTATTTTTATTATTTCAAATTTACTACTTTGATTTGTTATTTTTTTAAAATTCTCATCCATTTAATTTCAAATTACATTCAAAATTTAAAATATTTTTTCACCTTTGATTTCATATATTTTTATACATTCACACTATAAAATAAATTATCAAACTAAAATAATTTTTCTAAATGATTTTATATATTTTATCGTATCCGCAGCGTAGCGCGAGCAAAAAATCATAGTAGAAACTATAAGAAAATATAAAACATCTTATTTTAAAATAAAAAAGTTAACAAGTTATTAATTTCTATTACCACCATTTTAATATATAAAATTAGCTACTATATTGTACTCTTTCTTTTTTAACGAGGCTTGATGAGGCTTAATGAGATACTTTAGTGTACGACATGTATGCAATCAATGACTATTCATGCCCTCATTTATAACATTCATTTTCAAAATATTGATTTAATTTATTTTTATTCTTTTCTTATTTTTTATAATGTATCCACTTCTTGTGATGTGATATACTATCATAATCATCATGATTATAATGATCTAATGATTATTTGAAGGAATTCCATGAATAATTATATAATTTTTTTATTTTCTTACTGATGAATTTGCAAACCTTTCGAGATTGCGACATTTGCAATTATTTACGGGTTCATTGAAAACTCTATGAGGCCTAGGTCAAACGAAAATTCTAGAAAGAGTTGATTTTCAAACCTTACCTAAAAAATAAATAAAATCAGGTTTCGGAGCTCTACTTTTCAAATCTTGCCGATTTTGGGTTTCAAATATTCAAATGAACACATATGATGAATTAATTATCTGATAAATTTCAAATTCACTTGAAAATAAACTCACAAATAGACTTAATTAGGCAAATGAGGACTTATAAAAAATGAATTTAAGAATAAAAACATAGCAACATTTATTTGAAAGAAATGTTTTTAGATGATTTCTATCTTTTATTTAAGATAAACAACTCTTTACTCATTTTTAGTGTAGTTTTTAGAATTTTTAGTCTCCTTTTAGAACAAAGTAGTGGCAAACTCTTTTGAGTTTGTAAGTTTCATATGTCAGGTAGCTTTGCATTAAAAAACATGTCAAAGGCTTTGTTTTTAAATATTTTATTTATTTTTTTATTAATATATATCACAAGTAAAAGTTAATTTTTAAATTATTTACACTCAATATAAATAAATAATTATCAATTAGGGCAATTATGGTAAATAGGTCAATCTGTTCATATATGATATTTGATTTTTTAATATGCGTATCTATATATTTTTAATTACACCTATTATATCGTTAAATGTTATTTTAGTCTTTATTTTTTCTTTCTAATTGTTATTTTTTTTACCATAAGTAAATTTTTTTACTAAAATATCCCTAATTGAAATGCAATATATATATATTTTTTTTTTTTTTTTTTGCATCAAGGCATTTTGGTCAAAAAAATTTGTCCATGATGAGACAAATTAATCCAAAAGATAGATTGAAAATTTAAACTATTATTTGAAAACATAATAAATAAAATTAAAAATATAAAGATATATTAAAAATTCAAATTAATATTATATTTAGACAAATTAAGCTATTTGTGCTAACAAATATCGATCTTCTATATAACCTATAAATTGCGAATCTTTCGCTGGCTCTAAAGTAAATATAGGCACATTTCTCTTTTAATGAAGGCGACATTTTAGGACATGAAATTTGAAAGCAATTACAAATTCTTATTATTTTTTTCAAACAGAAGTAATGATGACACTTCAGTACAGTGAGTTACTTTCTTCAATTGCGTTTATACATGTACAAAGATAAGATTTATAGAATTATTATAATACAAAACGTCGTAAAGAATGCATGAGACGAGAATAAGAATTTAAAAATTACATCACGAAATAAGCATTTTTTTTTTTTTTGTTATGTAAATAATAATAAATAAATCAAGAGTGACCCTTTCCACACCAGGTTCCATCAATTATAAAGAGAAACCAGCTGCTGTTTCGTAAAGTCTCAAATGTAATGAATATTCCATACACAACATAAAAGTTAAATTTTGGATCCAAGATATATACAGAATAATGGGAAACTTTGTGTCTTAGATACCGATAGAGTAATAGAAAATATAAAGAGAACGAAAAGTTAAAGAAATGATTTTATATCAATTCAATCGTTGAATATAGATTTAGTTACCATATATTGTTCTGATTGTTTGAGGGCCATTTAATTAATTAGAAGCTTCACAAGGAATCCTTGCTCCAAGTTTCAGAAGATGTATCCTAGCTGACGGAAGATATCCTTGAATCGTTTCAAAAAGGTCCGTTTAGGAGCAGAAAAGTGAGAGATGATCACATCAGTTGATTTGGACCTTCTTGGAAGAGCTTGGAATGACATGAACCATATGACTATTCTTCCCGGATAAGGAGCTGAATTCGAGTCACTTTAAGGGCTGAAATTTCCAGCTAAGAATGTATGGAATTCACTTTGTGATGCTAAGACCATATCTTATATTTGTATATCTAGCTCACAGAAACGGAAGTAATAAAAAAATAAATAAATCACAAGTGCCTGCTAGGTATTCTAACCAAGAGCGCAAAGTCAAAGTTATAAATTGCAATGGAACAGCTATATAGTCTGGTCACAATGTATATATATCTATTGCAAAGTTGACATTGTCAAGCACACCCTTAATAAACAAAGTAAGAACTAATTTTGTTAATACTACCTTTTCTTTTATATATGGACTAGCTTCACATTGTCTCTCTTATTGAATGACAGACTTCATCTAAAATGGCAAATCTTGAGACCAGAAAATATCTTTGTAGCATTGGCTTCCTTGCCGTCGCTCTATGCCTCTTTTCTTTGATGGATGCTGCTGCTGCAATTGTAAGTGCTGATATCCTGTCCACTCCATTCAATTCTTAGTACTAGTGAAGCTAATTTATTACTGCTATCATTTATCTTTTTACAAGTACATTGAAATTTCATGCATGTGATTTAAGTGGCTGAATCATGGAGCTGATATAAGCAATACAAGATCTGCGAACGGAGAGGTGCTAATCAATCGATTGACGGTTAAAAAGTTGCGGTTAAAATGGACGTTCTTTGCTGGTAAAGACATATCTGCAACTCCAGCAGTAGCCAACGGGGTAGTATATTTCCCATCTTGGAATGGGTATTTGTATGCAATTAATGCATTCAATGGTGCTTTAATATGGAAGCAGAACCTGGGTCAGCTAACTGGACTAAATGGCACTGGAATCGTTGTGAATGTAACCGTGTCGAGATCAACTCCAACAATTGCGAATGATCTCTTGCTGATTGGAATTTATGGGCCTGCTGTTGTGATTGCTGTCACTCGGTTGAATGGGAGACTTGTGTGGTCTACTCAACTAGATCCACGCCCTCGAGTACAGATTACGCAATCCGGAACATTTTACAAGGGGTTAGTCAAGTTTTTATGTACAACTCGATTTCTAGAAGTTAAAGTCATAATACCAATTATCCATCCAAAACATCACGAGAAATTAATTTCCTTTTCTCACTTTGTTTCATGTCAGAGCATTCTATGTTGGAGTTTCGTCACTTGAAGAAGCTTTACCAGCTGATCAGTGCTGCACTTTCCGAGGTAGCTTGGCCAAGCTAGATGTTCGGACAGGTGCCATCATTTGGCGAACCTATACACTACCTGATAACAAAGGCAAATTGGGAGGCTACTCAGGAGCTGCAATTTGGGGGAGCAGCCCTGCCATCGATGTAACCAGGAGGCTAGTTTATGTGGCAACTGGGAACCTCTACACGGCTCCTCCTGAGGTGACCGAGTGCCAAGAAGCACAAAACAATCAGACAACAAAACCAACCCAGCCAGATCAATGCATCGGGCCAGATATCAACTTCAACTCAATTTTGGCTATCGATATTGATAGTGGGACGATTAAATGGTCCAGGCAACTAGGAGGCTATGATGTTTTTTATTTTGCGTGTTTGGTTCCTAACAACCCTGATTGCCCACCAGGACCTAACGTGGATGCAGACTTCGGAGAGGCTCCTATTCTGCTTACCGTAATTTCAAACCGAGCACGTCATGACATTGTGGTGGCTGTACAAAAAAGTGGCTTTGCCTGGGCTCTGGATCGGGACAGCGGATCCATAGTCTGGTTCAAAGTAAGCATGAAACCAATGAATTTTGCTGAGATTATATTTCACCGAAAATGATGGAAAAAAAAAGCATTAGAAACTTCTTCTCCGAGTAGTATTACAGTCTTGGACAGCAAGCTTTAGTTCACTGAGGTCTGATTTTATATATGTAGCTAGCAGGACCGGGTGGTGCAGAAGGAGGCGGGCAATGGGGGGCGGCTACGGACGGTAGGACGGTGTATACAAACATTGCCAACAGCAACAGAGAGAGGTTCACAATTGCTCCATCCAATGAAACAACAACAGCAGGAGCTTGGGTAGCATTGGATGCAAAATCAGGCCAAATATTATGGTCCACAGCTAACCCCAGCAACGACACTGCTCAAGGGCCTGTAACAATAGTTAATGATGTACTCTTTGCCGGATCGGTGGCTTCTAACGGGCCGATATATGCAATGGATGCCAAAACTGGCAATATCCTCTGGTCTTACAATACTGGAGCAACTGTATATGGAGGTATATCAGCTAGTTATGGGTGCATTTATCTAGGCAATGGCTATACAGTTGGGCTGGCAAGGTTCCATCCTACTTGGACTGGGGGAACTTCCCTCTATGCTTTCTGCATTGCCTAAACAGCATCTCGAACTTTGCAAAAAGAATGTAGAAAGCTTAATTGAAGCAGCGTTCTGTTCCAGCCTACTATAATATCAGTAAATAAAACTATCAACTTTGTCTATGATATGCTTCAGCTATGGCCTTCCCTTCCCATGAATCTCTAGGCCAGTCTCTATATACTGCACTTTTGCAAGCTTTTTTACTTCTTTTGATCAAAAGATTTGTGAATCCTATGTGTATAGGACTTGCATTCTTGCGTATTTTCCTGAAGCATGTCAACAGTTACCTTCAGAAGCTGAAACACACACAAATCTGCCATGAAATTAACATTTAAGAAAATTAAAGATATACAGGGAAAAAAAAACTTAAGAAATTAGCAAAATATTTGTTAACATGGAAGTGGATCTGCAGTACTTGCTTGCACATGCATTTAATTAATTGATGGTCCTGAAAGCGGGCTTGCAGCAGTAGTAGCTCACTAGCTATTATTGTTCTTATGGGAAAACTACATTTTACCCCACCAACTATTACACATATTCCTATTATATCCTCTATATTAAAAAAAAATTCAATTATACTATTTTATTGAAACCATAAATCGAAATAGTTATTATACAGTAATTTCATTATTTATATTTTTCATCAATGTTCATCTACGTGACATATGGATTTAAAAATTCTTGTTTATTGTCCTAATATTTTAACCCATAATTAAGGCCATTAGATAAATATTATTCAATATCTTTTCATCAACAAAAAAACATATATATATCAAAGATCAAGATCTTCTACAATTAGGGTTGGTAACAATTTTAAAAATTGATTTTTTTTTTTACCTCATAATGTTTCCTTTATCACACACATTGGAAAATGTAAACATTTTGATGGCAAGAGCTAACTCTAACTATACCAATAAATAAAAGATTAAATTGAAGTATTTAGAAGATAAGTGACCTAATCAAAACCTACATAATAATTAAAGGTCTTGTATGTAGTTTGACCTTTTACTATTATTTATTAATGCCTCATTGTTTATTTATTTATTTATGAACTAAACTGCGAAATAAATGCTCAGCAGCAGCCCCATTAAATTTGTATTAGCACAGTTCTAGTCTAATTAACCAAAACTAGAAGAAAAAAAAATTAAAAATAGTGATTATTATTATTATTATTATTAATTAAAGGAATCAGATTTATTGAGATCTACGTTCGTGAGAAATAATTCTGCGTTTGCTTCACGGAGAAGCCATTTGAAAAAATTTTCAGTCACAGTCCACTGTTTCCTTCTACTACTACTTTATAACAGAATCAGAATCTTCAGCAGCAACATGTGTGTTTATGAAGTAATGCCGTTAAAGCTTTGGCTCTGTGCCTCTGACGAGAGCTACACTGTTTTATTATTCTGTCTCTTCTTTTTTCTTTGCTGTCTCTTTCTAAGCTTCTTCTCGTTTTGTTCACTCCACCCCTAACGGTTATGGCTGCTCCGCTGTTCTCCTTCCTCTTATCCCTCGTAAATTTCTAGGTTTTAACTCTCTCTCTCTCTCTCTCTCTCTCTCTCTCTCTTCTTTATCTATCTATCTATCTATCTTTGAATTTGTTTATATTTTGAAATATTCCTAAGTTTTTCTATTTGGTTACTAAGAAAGTGTAGGAAAATGAAAGAAATTTGATTACGACTTTGGCATTACTATATTCTCTGTTCGATTAAGCATGACTATTACAGCAATTTGTTTTATTTGATTTTTTTATTTAATTACTATAGATTTATTCTAAAAAGTTAATTACTCCTTTAAGTGAATTTCAAGTTTTTTATCTTTGATTTTTTTTTAATTCTTATTCTATGATCATCATACAGATTAGTTTTACTGACTGGCTTTACGCAATCGAGGATGGAAGAAGTTAGTTAGGAAGGCTCAAAATTACTTTCTTCTATTGCTTTATTTATTTATTTATTTATTGCTCTCTCTCTCTCTCTCTCTCTCTCTCTCTCTCAGGATAAAAAGGAAGGGTATTCTTTTGCTTTTTTTTTTTTTTTTTTGTCCTTCTTAGTCCTTTACAGTAGATGATGTTGATTGGTTTCGATACTTTTACGCATTGGGTTGATGTCCTTGAAAAAATGGAGATTGCGGCATGATTACATGTGTATTTAGAGAGACCTGTTATTAGAAATTAGAACAACTTTTGAGAGAATTATGAAGGAGAAAACTATGTCAGTAAGATAAAGTCTTTATTTACTCTGCAATATAAACATGTCATAGTTTTGCTCCTTTAAATACTGGAGTGACATCATGTCTTTTTCTGCTTTTCTTTCACTGCACAATAAAAGCGTTTGGTCCTGAGTATTATTACGGGGCTCACAGTATGCAGCAGAATCCAAGAAAAGGATCCGAAATGCATTTTGATGATTTCAGTGTTAATTGTTCTCTGCACAAGTCAGGGATGAGCCTTAGCTTTATTAATGATGGGTTAGCTTTTGTGAATACGACTCTTGGCATCGATGCTCGCAGCTGTTGTTTTAACTTCTTTAGTGCTTTCTTTATAGTACCATTCATCATATAACACCAATGTTCATGAGATTTTATGCTTTCTTGTTCTTTTTTTCGTTTAGAATCAGTGATTGAGTGGCTGTTTCTTTGCCTTGTTATTCATGCCTTTTAGGAACCAAAAAACACAGTTTTTATTGTGATATTCATTCTGCACTTCCTTATTTTTATTTTTATTTTCGGTATTTTTGGTTTGCCAGGAAACTGGAGAATTGACAATCACCTAGGTGGACATTTCATCAGCAGACTCTGATGATGCTCTCGTTTCCTATGGCGTTGGCCTGGTCTTTATTCTTGTTTTTTCTTCACCAAACTGTGGCTGTCCTAAATTCCGACAAGCAAGCCCTCCTTGACTTTGCTTCTGCAGTTCCTCATAGCCCAAAACTTAACTGGAAATCTACTGCCCCAATGTGCACTTCTTGGGTTGGTATTACTTGTAACACAAAAGGCTCTCGTGTGGTTGCTGTCCACCTCCCTGGTGTTGGACTCTATGGTCCTATTCCAGCCAAAACACTTGGGAAACTGGATGCCCTCACTATACTCAGTCTTCGGTCCAACTTTCTTAGCGGGAATCTCCCATCAGATTTGCTCTCCCTTCCTTCTCTCCGCTCTGTATACCTTCAACATAATAACTTCTCTGGTACCATCCCATCTTCACTTTCTCCCAAGCTTGACTTGCTTGACCTCTCATTCAATTCCTTCAATGGTTCTATTCCAGCCACCATACAAAATTTAACACACCTCGCTAGTTTGAGCCTCCAAAACAATTTACTCTCAGGATCCATACCTGAATTCAATATATCAGGGCTCACGCAATTAAATTTGAGCTACAACCTCTTGAATGGTTCTATTCCTGCTGCCCTCCAAAAGTTTCCCACCACCACCTTTGAAGGGAACAATATGTTATGTGGACCACCACTAAACCGGTGTTCTATATTTACCCCCGCACCTTCTCCAAGCCCCACTTCCTTACCACCACCTCCAACGGTAACTAAAAGACCAAGTGATGGCTCCAAGAAAAAACCAAGTAAGGGGTATGTCATTGGTATTGCAGTTGGGAGTTCTGCATTGCTATTATTTCTACTTTTTATGATGGTGGTTTGCTGTGTGAAGAAAAAAGGTGGTGGAAGTAATGGTGTGCTAAAAGGGAAGGGTGGAAGGACTGAGAAGCCTAGGGAAGACTTCGGGAGTGGAGTACAAGAGGCTGAGAAGAACAAGCTGGTATTTTTGAAGGCTGTTCCTGCAATTTTGATCTTGAGGATTTACTAAGAGCTTCAGCTGAAGTGCTAGGAAAGGGGAGTTATGGGACAACCTATAAGGCCATCTTGGAGGAGGGTACGATGGTGGTCGTGAAGAGGTTAAAAGAAGTGGTTGTTGGGAAAAGGGAGTTTGAGCAACAAATGGAGATTGTTGGGCGTCTAGCCCAGCACCCAAATGTCATGCCTCTTCGTGCTTATTACTACTCCAAGGACGAGAAACTCTTGGTTTATGACTATGCACCAGCTGGTAGCTTTTTCAGAGTGTTGCATGGTATGTCTCTCTTATCATCTTGTTCTTCTCTTCTTTCTTTTCCATGACTTGTTCCTTCTTGCATGTTTCTGTACTAATCAGAGACGACTACACTTTATATAGTATGGTTTAATCAAAAGCCACAAATACGAAGAATTTAATTTGCATCGTACTTTGATAAAAAGACAGACTGATTGTGTTAAGTTTGAGATTAAATGCAGAACATGGTAAATTGCCTCGTCTATTTTTCCGATGGCAGTTATTTTACTTTTAATTGCATGATTTCTCTACGTATCATAATTCTCAATATGTGACCTGCAGGAAACAGGGAAATAGGACGAACTGCTCTAGATTGGGAATCCAGACTAAAGATCTGCCTTGGAACTGCAAGAGGAATTGCCTATATCCATTCTGCTAGTGGAGGAAAATTCATTCATGGCAATATCAAGTCTTCGAATGTACTCCTGATGCAGGACCTCCGTGGCTGCATCTCAGATTTTGGTTTAACTCCTCTATTGAGTTACCCTAGTGCTCCATCTAGAAGTGCAGGTTACCGAGCTCCTGAGGTGATTGATATGCGAAAATCAACTCAAAAATCGGATGTCTATAGTTTTGGTGTTGTCCTCCTAGAGATGCTGACAGGAAAAGCACCAGTTCAATCACCAGGGAATGATGATGTAATGGATCTCCCAAGATGGGTTCAGTCTGTTGTTCGAGAGGAATGGACTGCAGAAGTGTTTGATGAGGAGCTAATGAGATACCAAAACATTGAAGAGGAGATGGTGGAGATGCTTCAAATAGCAATGGCTTGTGTGGCAGTAGTGCCAGACATGAGGCCTACCATGGAAGAAGTAGTTAGAATGATTGAAGAAGTCCGGCCATCTGAATCCGAGCACCGCCCATCATCAGAGGAGAATAAAGGATCAAATACTCAAACCCCGTAGTCAATATGCTGCACTGACCACATATCAAAATTTCTGCTTTGAATTCTGCTTGAAGCCAGCTCTGGATTGAAGATCGTGTGGTGAATCTACTAACTAAGACTATAGAGGCTCTCGTGTAAGTACTTAAAAAGTTTCTCGCAGTGTGATTCTTTTAGCATTTTAGTTAACAAATTTGGCATGACTAGCATGAGTGTTTCCTACTAGCTATTGTTGTAACAAGAGAGTTTTCGAAGGAAAAATAAAAAAGCCGCTTGGCTTGGCTTGCATTAATTTCTAGCTTCTACTAATGTAATAAATATTTTGCAGTTCACAAGCTCGCATCTGCTAGCAACAACTTAATAATTTCAATGTTGCTATGCTTATAAAACTGTAAATCAAAGGTGTGACATTTCCATGTTGCTATAAAACAAACTTTTGAACAGAATAACGCTAGGGGAATGGAAAATCAGAGCATTTAATTGAATAAAAAGAGCTCGTACATAAGAAGAAACAGGACTTAACATACAGATTTAGGGCCATCCTCTATCCATATCTGCTACCTATCAACAAGAGACGCATATTTTGCTAACGCTATGGACAAACTGGATAAGAATAAGAATGTCTTCTAAAATCAGGCCTAGTTCATTCCGGGGCAGATTTTTTATACTTAAACCAGCTGATTATCTGGTTCCACAACGACTTTTCTGTAAGCCATATCATCAGCCAATCCACCGCAATACCTGATTGCATTACTTCATCAGCATCAACCGGAAAACATTCCCAAAGAAATTTTGGAGCCGTTAACGTAACTTCTCCTCCGCAGTTCCGTGCTGTCACTCCCAATCCCATTCCACATTGATTGAAAGAAAAGCCACATCAGAATTAATCTTCATATGATCCATTGAAGGTGGCTTCCATATCCGAATGTGACCTACATATCTGCTCTGCCACTCCAAATTTCGGTGAGAAACTCATTTTCTTGCTGGCTGCTGTAACTGCTTAGCAGTTGGGGTCCTTGGGGACGCTTGACGACTTTTGTTTTTGTTCCCAAACTAATAAACTCTTCATGCCAGACTCTGCAAGATGTGACAAAAAAAAAAAAAAAAAAATTGGTTGCAGCTTCTTGTCATCAAAAGACCCCAATATAGAAATAATCCATTCTTTGAAACCTGCACTTGAAGACTGGCTCAACAGAGGAGCTAGGGAACCGTTTTGCCAAACCTATGTTCAGCTTGTCTAAGAGAGTTGGAATTCCAGCACCCATTATTATCCATTGATAATGCAAGATAGTAAGCACTACGCCCAGAAATGAAAGATCCATACCAGAATTCCCTCCGGGAAACAAAGTGAAGGAGCATTAATTTTAATCTGGCGGGGGTTTGTCTCTCCGCACTTCAATTTTTCTAACCATTTCCATTCTCCACCATAAGCCATTTTCCGGCAAGTATAGCGCTAATGCAGTACTTGATATTGCAAACCGTCACAAAACTACCAAACCAACATATCATACCATTCAAAATAATACAAAACCCATCATCAAAGATCAACACACGAGTTCCCGAAACGATTTTAGTATTACTAGCATTATTCAGATTAACAAGTCCAAATATAAACAAGGTTGATGCACTAACAGACGAAATAGTAGAAGGCGACTGCATTTAAAACTTCAACTCATTATCTTGATAAAGTATCTATTCAATTATATTTTACAATTCCTCCTAGTGGCGTAAATCTGAAACCGGATACAAAATAATGATATAACAAGTTAAAAGAAAAGGAGAGGTATGTATAAAGTTCAAAATTGTTACAGTCAAATATGCTTTCTCTTCTTTTGCAGTTTCTGCGACTTTCTCCACTTGAGATATATCTGATATGATAGACCAGAGAACACCATGACTACGCATCCCCACTGCTTTGCTGATAGGGGATTGCCACTCAGCAACGAAGAAACCACAATGCTGACAAACTTGCGGGTTGTGGTGATAGTAGTGTTCGCTAGAGATCCAAATTGGCTAATGGTTAGAAAGATGAAATTCTGGCCCACGGCGCCGCACAGGCAGAAGAGCAAAATGTCCCATGCCGCCTCTGGATGCTGCTTGCAAAATTCAATTGCCTCATATCCAATACCATGTGACCAGCCAAACATGTAGATCAGGTTGTATATTGTACCCCACAAATTCATTCCCAGCATTATATCCCAAGCGCTTGTCTTTGGATACCTGAGCAACACAGAAAATTATTAAGAAATGATGGTGTATTGAGTGAAAAGAAGAATGGATGCATGATATATCCTTGAGGCAAAAGAAAAACTTCTGGAGACATTCTCTACAATTAATTATGCACATGAAGCTCATAGCTGCCGTAGTTTAATAACCTTGCAAGGGCATCAATTTAGATTTATAAGAGAGTTTGTGACAAAAGCCAAACTCTTGACCAAAAGAATATCTACTCCAGGAAACTATTCTACAGCTACCAATGCTCACTTTGCATGCAGATCAAAAACGAGAGAGAGAGAGGAGGGCTGTGGAATATAGGACCAGCAAGTATAGAATCTCTGAGAAGTCAACAAACAAAGGACACGAAAGGACTGTAGGTACAAGTTCTCTTGAATATTTCTAACATAGCTAAAATTTCTGTGCATAACTGAATGTTTTTTCCAACAGATTAACTAGAGTTCTTCCCTTAAATATTACTTGGGAAAAAAAGAAAAAAAAAAAAAAAAAAAAACTTCTTCATTCAGACTATAGATGAAATAAACAGGAGGAGAACCATTTTTCTTTAACTTCGTGTTACTTTTAAACTGGAAGAAGACTGAAATAATACTATGATACACAGGCAGCAGCTTTGAATCAGCAAAAAAAAAAAAAAAAGAGTTATAAATGAACATATATTCTTACATACCTAGCTTTAAGTGAATCCTGAGTAGCATTAGTAAATCCATCAAATGCAAGGTTCAAGAAACAAAGTCCATATCCAAGGGGTGCATTTGGATGTGCTAGCTTATTAATCGTCTTCGAGCTTGTCTGAAAACATACAAACCCCAAGCAACCAGCAAGAACAATCAATTAAGAAATTCTTATTAATAATAATAATAATGTAAGCAATTTGACCAAGCAAAACAAAACAAAAAAGTTGGTCACCTTCAAGAGAGCAAACATAGACACCCCTCCAGCAACAAGGAAAGTGCAAAGATACTCAGGAAGGGTGTATCTTATACCATACACCAAACTACTCATAAACATCACTGCCACATGACAATACAAAAAGAGCAATCCCATCCATCACTAGAGATATTCATCAAAACTTTTTTCATAAAAAAATAAAAAATAAAAGCGCAGAACAGTGATAATGACAGACTGGCCGACACCGACCTGGAATCATTTTGGAGGATTTTGCCAGGACCTGGGCAGGGTAACTGATATACTTTAGGGCTTCAATACCCATGGCTGGCCCAATTGTATTTGTAATGCCAGGGCTCCAGTATGTCCACCACGGAGCACCGCCGGTACTACTCTTCGACCAAATCTTTATCACTGTTATTTTGTTGCACGCCAACAAATTACTCAATTTTATTTCAATTAAAAAATTAAAAAAGGAAAAAAAATTAGAAAAAAATTACTCACTTATGTAAGACCAAATCAAGCAAACTACATTTTGCGCCAGATTTAGGAATGCAAGGTGCTCAAATCTCTTCCCATCTGAACCAAATCGCTTCGTTGATCTAAATAAAAACAAATTCACAATTAAATAATGCTCTCAAATATATTTTGATGTATTACTAATTTTTTTTTTACTAAATAAATGAATGTAAGAAAACGAACTTACAGAGTTTCTTGAAGAAAACCTTGATATATATAAGCCGACCAGATCCCGGCTACGCAAAACGCCAACACAAACACTCGCCGGAGGCTGCCGCCGCCGCCGTGTGCTTCCATTTTCCGATTACTCAGCTCCTCTTTTTTATTTTTTCTCCAGTGAGCAGGAAAAAAATACAAATGGAAGTAGAGAGATCGCTAAGAAGAACGAATCAATAAATGGAAAAGAGTGGCCTTTTTAATTTAACGGCCCCAAATAACGGCTACGTAGATTTTCCACGTGTTTGTTTCTTATTGGTTTGGTGACTTCACTCTCCTTTCTCATTGGCTGCTGACACGCCATCGGTTCTGACAGTTTTGTGGGGTCTTTTCACTTTATGGAGCACTGTACTTTTGCTCGATCTGATGGAAGTTAATCAAATCGGACGGATTTGATTTCTTACAGTTATTTATTTGGTTGACCAGTGTGCAGAAGATTACTTGATTTTTTTCCAGATGAGGTGGAGGGGTATGATTGGCTAGGCGAGCATAGTTTAGTAGAAATGCGCAACCGTTTCCGTAGAAAGCAAACGAGACAATAACTTACGTGCATTCGTTATTTAGAAAGCCGACACGTCGTGAAAGAGAACCTACAGACGATTAGTCATTCTGTTGGAAAATAAAATGCATAAATTTAGAACACAAAATTAGAGTCCGTAATCTGTATATCAACTGCATGTTATCTTCTCTTTCATGAGTTACATATCCAATGTGGTAAGGAAAAAAAAAGGCAGTCATCTCTACTGCGTAAAAACTTGTATATGGGCAAAAAGAAAATATTGCATGGAAAGAACAAAAGATTATATATCCTAATCTAATGCCCTAATTTGAATCATCTTTGTTGACCAAGTCAGCACCACTAACATATTTAGCAACAAATGATATTAACCGGAATGGAGCGCCAATTAATGGAGCATCTGTAATCGGCACACCACTCTTATCGTCAGTCTCCACAGCTTGCATCTCCAAATCCTGAACTTCATTATCATCCAATGGGATTTGCACAATTTCTCCAGTGTCAGCTTCTGGGGAGTTTGGAACTACCACAGCAGGTTCTACTTCCAAGGACACTAACTTATGGTCCAATGCAGACAAGTTTTGAGTAGAATCGGACACAGGATGAGTTCCATTGGCAAGTTCAGAATTTGTAACAATGGCATCACTTCCGATCACTGAAGAAAGACTAGCTGCTGCCCTTTGTTGGTCAAGTTTAATGTACAACTCATTCACCTGAGAACAAATATAGAGTTAGAAGATACAAGTCACAATACCTGCTAACACATTCCACATGAGCGCATCCATGCAGAGGCACGCTCAAACCCACATGTACACACACATTAACCTTACTAAAAGTTGGTGGATGCATAAAGACAATAATACATAAAGCCTTCTTAAAAGCATTGGAAACTTAGAGAAAGAGGAAAAAAAAATCGAAAACTATAAAAATGGACAGGACAATCGAGGGATAGCAGAATAGCAGTTCCTTACTTTCTCAACGAGGTCTGCATTTTCTGTGATCAATTTGTCCACCAGTGCACAAGCTGCTTCGATCTGGGAGTTCAATTCCTCTTTTTCAGCACCATGCTACAATAGACACCCAACTTTTCAATATGTATAATCACAATTTATCAGAAATGTCAACACAGAAGAACATAGCATCTCCAGTAAGAGTAGAAGGGTATGGTGCAGAAATGTGTAACAGAAGAAACTCATTGACATATGACCATAAATTTAACTTCAAATAAGCTCACAAGCAGGTACAGGACAACAAACCTTTCCGAGTTCTGATGTGTTAGCAGAGGAGACACTTGTCTCAATGTTTTGAAGCTGTAACTTCAGGTCAGAGACGCTTTCCTTCAGTTGTTGATTTTCTTTCACAAGACTATTCCTGGAATCTTCCAACTCCACCACCTGCCAGGCTTTTGTTTTAATTTCCATATCAGAACAAAATCAAGGTTATACTGCAGAATGGCTGTGCCTTACACGTACTCCTCTCTAGGATTAACCAAATCTATCAGCAATTAGCTTGAACATGACAGACCACATGGTAACCACATTTACAAACACAGTAAAGTTCATAGGCTGTTGCAACAGAAGCATTGATGTGACCATAACTACATGATAAAACTAGATACCTGCATTTGTAGTTACATACCTGCATTCGTAGTCTTGTGATGTCAATATTCATTCCAGTAACAGTTTCTTTGGTTGTATTCTGTGTAAGATCATTGACATGCAAAATTAGAAGCAAGTATATTAATGGCTTGATAATTCAATCTGATGAAAAGGATATATACAAACTGTTACTGCAAGGGATGCACGATAAAACAAAGCAGGGAACAGCTTCAAAAAATTTTGTTTTATTTTTCTTGAAAATTTATTACATGTTTCTTATTTAGAAATTATGATTATTATAGTTTGCCATGATCTCGTAATCTATTTAGTCAGAAATTGTACCGTTTAACTTTATTACATTTCCTATAAGCATATAAATAATTGCTTCTCTACCCCCTTTCTCCCTCCTCTCCTCCCTAAATCCCTCTCCGTGTATAGCGTCATTGTGCAAGAACCCTTCAACTCATTTCCAAGTTAAGAAGTGAAACCAGCTTCTCCTCCAACACAATTCTTTTAGTTTTCTCCCACTTCATTTGCTCTACTTCTCTACCCTTTCCCCTTTCTCCCCTCCTCTCCTCCCTAAATCCCTCTCCTTGTACTACATCATTGTTCAAGAAACCTCCCATTTCCAAGTAAAGAACATATAAGGAGCACCTAACCACTCTTTTTTCCCCCTATCAGCTACTCCCTTCCCCCATAGAGAATTTTTTTATACATTTAATTGAAAATTTCATTTATCAAAAGAGAATGAGAAAGAAGGCACCTATCCTAAAGAGTTTTACTTTCTGGCAACTGTATACTAAGCATGGCTAACAAAATTGTTTTACCACCTGATCTATTTTTTGTATTGACTTTCCAAAATCACCCTTCTAAATTAGAAGCTTTTGAAGATAGAGAATTATATTTGATTCTCAGTAAGAGGTGATATAGAAGAGTAACAAAATGATGCTTTGCCTTTTTAATAACAGAATCTATATTTGGGAGCAAACCAGAAAAAGAAAAACAGGACATTCTGTTATAATGGAAGCAGTACAAATAAAAATGGGCTTCAGTATATATGCTGCATTGCCTTCCATGTTCAAAAGAAAAGGAATAAAAACGAAAAACAGGCCCTTCTGTAGGCATCATCTGGTTATCTATCGATCCTGAAACCCATGAAACATTAAATAAGGACAAATCTCCACTCAACCACATTTCAATTCAAGCACCTACAGCCTTGAATACATATGATACAGCATGAAACAGCCAATATCCAACAGGTACGTGAGAGCTCAGCTCACTAATTAACTAAACAAATTCTTGTGAGAAGGAAAAAAAGAACACAGGAAGAAGTAAACAAAATGCACATAAGAAAAGGTGATTACTTCTATTATGGTCCAAGAATCTTTCTCACTCTCTAATTGTCTAATTTTCTCCTCTAGGCTTGCCTGTGGAACATATCACAAGGTTATTCAACTATATAGACAAAATTTCTGAAAAATATTGAGCACTATTCCTCATTAGCACACAAGAAAAGACCAAAAATGAAACACACAATGTCACTCAGAAAAACACTTCTTATTATGATTTCATCCAAAAAGGTTGTGAGGCACCAAATATACCGCTTTTAAACCCAGAGCAGCGTTCTCATCCTGCAAGCAGTTAAGTTTCTCCTCCAAGCCAGCCTGCATTTGATATGATTATGCATTAACAGTTCATCTTATAAGATGCATGAATGAAGCATTAAAATGCGATGGTTTGATGCTTATAATGAAAATATATAGCTGGCAATCCAGTGAGAAGCTGAGTATAGTCAAGTGGCATATTTAAACACTGACTTCCAATACTGGTTCCAAGGCTTATCATGTTAAAGAGAAATGCCCTTGAATTTGTTAAACGTTTCAAAAGAGAAAATATTTAGTTATAATCCCATATAAGACCAAAATTACCTCCTTCTCAAGCCAGAAATGTTTTTCACTCTGCAATTGTACAATTTTCATCTCTAAGCCAGCCTACAAATCATCCATTTTAGGCCAAACAGTAAAAGTACATAGAGCATAAAATACAGATTCAGCTGCCTGTTTATATCACCTCTTTCTGCATGAGGGAATCATTTTCAGTTTTCAATTGTTTGATTGTATCTTCAAAGGTAGCCTGTAAAAAGTATAGTTAGGTGACTTCCTCTTCCCAATAAATATCAAATAAAAAGATTGAAACATTAGTATCAAGAATGAAAGATAGGAGAGATAAAACTACTTTCCTATCTTAGCATAAAACAAAACAAGTTTTTCCATCTATTAACGATTGAAAAACATTTAGTGCTACCTCTTTTTGCATGCATAAATTGTTAACACTTCTTAATTGATTGATTTCATCTTCTAAGGAAGCCTGCAAAAAAACATATTGCAAACAAAGACAAGAGACTTACATAATTAGGAAAAAGTAGAAAAACCTAGCTTCGTGAAGTTCACGACATATTAATCCATTCCATCCCACCATTGGAAGCATTGATATTACCTCTCTCAGTGTGTGTGAATCATTTTCATTCTGCAATTGTTTTCCTGTCTCTACTAAGGTAGCCTGTAAAATCAGTAAGTTCCTTCATGCTTTGCATAAATGTCAAAACAAAGAACCAATGTAATAGTGCAACGCAATGAGGGTGAAGTAATTAAGAGAACTTTTTTCAGGTACATTCCCACAGTTAGATTAAATTTTTAGTACCTCTTTCTGTATGTGTGAATCATTTTCATCTCGTAGTCGTTGGATTGTCTTTTCAAAGGAAGCCTGTTAAATGCAGTAAGTTACTTCTTGCATGAATTACAAAAAAATGCAGTAAGTTCCTTCATGCTTTGCATAAATGTCAAAATAAAGAAACTACTATAATATCACAACACGAAGCGTGTGAAGTGATTCGGAAAATTTTTGTCAACTACATTCCCACATTTAGATTAAATCCGTACCTCTTTCTGTATGTGTGAATCATTTTCCTCTTGTAATCTTTTGATTGTTTCTTCAAAGGTAGCCTGTTAAATGCAGTAAGTTATTTCTTGAATGAATTAAAACAAAAAGAATAATTCCACATGACAAGAGGAAGAGTTTGTTGCACAAGAGTGCGTATGGGCATGGGAATTCACAAAATATAATACAGCACCTGTGTCTTTATTAGTGAATCAGTTTCATTTTGTAATCTTTTGATTGTCTCTTGTAAAGTAGCCTGTACTAAAGAAAAAGGAGCTATTTCATATTCAAAACTAATATTAGAACAAATTTATGAGATTCTTGAACATAAAAGATAGAGAGAAGAGGGAAAGAAATAAGAATGAAAAGCTAGCTGATTGAATGCCTCACCTCTCTTTGCAGCCACTTCTGCTTCTCTGCTTCAGCTACAATGGACTGCAAAACAGAATTTTAACACAGTAGGATCAGTATCGGCAGTCAATCCTAAAGAAAATCTACATGTAAGTAGCAAAAAGAAGAAGAATCTTAAAACATGAAGCAATTGGAAATTATCACACATGCCATCTTTCCATAACACAAGACAAAAAATGTAGATAAAAGGACATAATAAAACACACTAAAAACCAAAATCTCAGAAGTTTACATTAAGGAATTCAAAAAATGCAACAAGTAAACTCCATCGTCGCATCTTGCCTACTCCCACAAAATTTCCACAGGGATAACTGAATAACAAAAGTTTCACAAAGAGGGCAGAGCTATAAAAGTTAAAGCAAGCTGCCATAATGAGAAGTTTCTGGGGCATCAAATCAAATGAGTTATGGTGCCAATTCTTATAATCAGAATCCTAAAAGCCAAGAAAAAAAATAAGGGGGAGGAGGGAGCTCGGAATTTGAAACAAAAAAAGAACCCTACACGAAATAGAGCAGTAATCCTATGCCAGCTGCACTTACATTGAATTAATCAGAATGCATGTCAGAATGGTGCAAACTGATTAATAGAAGAAACAGGAATCTAAAAAGCTTTTTTCAGGCTCCTTGCAAGTATAATCACTGTGATAATAGTCAATGCAACAAGTTAAGGAGAGTGTAGCAAATGACAAAGCGCTTCTTGGGGTATCATTATTAATCAAAACTTACAACTTAATTTCAACAAAGGCACAAAATTTTAACCTCTCACATATCAACAATCCAATCATATGATCTGACAGATTCTTCTGCTTCATTGATTTATTGATGGACCAAAACTAAGTGGATAATACTTCATTGATCTATTACTTAATCAACAAGAACCAATCAAGCCCACATAAAACAAAACTCAATCGTTTACTTAAGTAGACAAACAGAAAAAAACAACACAAATTAGTTTTAAAATTGAAAAAAAAATACTTACAGAATTTGATGCTGCTCCAATGAGCATATCGTTATGTCTACTAAAATCCTCCGCAACTGCAGCATCGCCATTTGAAGCAACCTCTATAACTTGATTATCATCACCATAATTCTGCCCATTAGTATTATCTGTGTTATTATTATTATTGCTACTATTATTGCTATTGTTAACACCAACCGAGACGTCGTCTTCTGTTGCTTTATTATTATTGTTGTTGTTCTGTTTGTTTTTCTTTTTCTTGTTTCTCTTCTTCTTATTTCCCTCCTCCATTTTTAACAAACCTCCGAAATTCCCTGAAATTCACAAAAACCTGCAGTCAGATCGAAAAAAAAATCTCTGATTAATTAAATCAAATCTCGCTTTGATTTTCTTGCAATTAGATCTGAATCAACAAACATAACAACGAAAAAAATCAGTAAATTCGATAGATTGGATGCAGTGATCTCAAATACATACTGATGCACTCAAGAATTCAATTCCTTCTTCTTCTTCGATTTTGAATCGAAACGTTTCTTTGCAAAGGAGAGTGAAAACTTGCCGGTAACGGCTCCTTTTTCGTCGAGTGAAAATAAGACAGAAGATGTTGTGATTGCGGATGAAAGAGAGGTATTCAAATCAAGCGGCTGTGATTGTTGCTCACAGTTATTTATTTAGTGGACCAGAGAATAGGAGATTCCATTTTTTCATTTCCCTTGTGATGAGGTGGCGCTATATAACTGGCTAAATGGGTGTATGTGGGAGAATGTGTAACATGCTTCCGTAGAAGATAAGCGACACCATAACCAATAGAGGTGTTGCCTTCTGAACCGTCATGCAGGACCCACGTGACGTTAGATGTTGTTAATACGGCGTCGTAAGACAAGTGTAGCGTAGACGACTGGTCATTTAGTGAGAAACAAGTAGATTTAGGACCAGGTACTAAGGGTCTGTTTGGCAGTTTCGCGCTTGGGAATCATTTTTTTAAAGAGAAACATTAGGAGGTAATTTTTTCTCACCATCACTTTCAACGATGCTAATTTTACTGAATATTTTAAAATCATTTTTGAAATTTAAGGTTAGTTACATATTGCTCCTCACACTTGTGTTTTTTTATCTAAATCCCCCACAAATTAGAGGTTTGATCTACACACAACATGTCAAAATAGGTTGATGAATCGAGTATTTATGATCATTGACTCAAAATAATTCAATTTTTTTTATTGAATTGGAGAAATAATCACTGTGTGAAATTTAAAAAATATGTGTGAATGGATGGAAGGAAATGGAGAGAGTTGAATGGAAAAAAATAAATAAATAAGGAGATAATTTTCACTCTTTATTTTTGGAAGAGAAGAACATGGGAGGATTGAAAATAAATAATAAAAAAAAGGTTTACTTGTTTGTAAAACGAGAAGAGAATGTAAGGATTGAAAATATTATCAGAGAAAATTATTTTTGAGTCCTTTGCTCTTTTTTTCTTTTTCTTTTTTTCTTTTTTTGCTAAGTTGGATAAAAAAATTTTAAATCAAGAGTACAATTGAAAATTTAACTATTTGAATCAAAACTATCCAAATAGCTATTTCTCAGATGGTAGCTTATGCTTGTAGGTTAATATTTTCTTATTGTAATTTCATGTATTTTTCTTTAAGTTCTCGAACAAAGAAATTAAAGAAAAATGGCTATTTCTATTCCTACTCTTGTTTTTCTTCGAATTTCACCTCTCAAACAAGCTGTGAGATTATAAATCATAACATATTATTAGAGGTGGAACTTTTATAGTTATATGTTTTTGAAAATATGTTAGTGAGGAACAAACATTAGCCAGTGTTTTCACTTTTTGCTTGTGTTTTCCCTTTTTGATGAATTTTGTTTATGCTGGAATGAATTTATGTTTTTTTTTTTTTTTTTTAATGCAATGAATGAACTTTGCAAATGAATGTTTTCTTTATTGTGACGTTTTGTTTACAAGACAGCGTTTAAAAGAAAAACATAAGGCTTGAGAGAAGGAATTGTTTTCTTTGTTGAATCTGGAAAAACACTTCTTATCTTGCATGTTACACATTGATATTTTTATTTAGGCAAAATCCTTAAATTAATCCATGTGTTTGTGCCAATTATTCATTTTTACCCTTGTATTCTTAACTTGATAAATTAATCTTTATTTTCTTTGAATTCGTTCAATTAACCTTTTGTTCTTTGAATGTATTTGATTCATCTAATAGCTAACTTTTCTGAAGTTTTAGGTGTTATTTATGCATGTTAATTATGTAACAATTACTTTTTTATATTCAGGTGGGACCTATATTTCTAGATAACTTATCTTAAATTTATTTTTCTAATACAATTTATCAATTTACTTTATAAAAAAAATATTTGGCAATATAGGTGCCACACGAATATAAAAAAGTCATTTTATGAATAAAACAAAATTAATAACGACATATGCGTGTGCATTGTGGAATTGAGAATTGATAAAAGTCAACTATTAGATTAATTTGACAAATTTAAAAACTATAAAAACTAATTGAATGAATTTAAAAGGCAAAAGGATTAACTAACCATGTTAAATCATAAGGATAAAAATAAATAATTGACATAATACAAAAATACATTTAGGAATTTTGCCTATCAATTATGTATAGTAAAATACTAGTTTTTTTTTCTCGTGCTACGTTGCGGGTTGGATAAAATATATAAAATCGTTAAAAAAAATATGAAATCAAAGGTGAAAAAAATTATTAATAATTTTTTAATAAAAAAATTGTATTTAACTATTTCTTATTTGTGTTTTTCATAATTTTTCATTTAATTAGAAAAAAGGATTTATCCTTGTTAATCCACGGATTATTAACTAAAAAGACAATTGAATAAATTTTTAAGAAAAAAGATTTAGTATTTCATAAGATTGTATCAAAAAACATAAATAATAACCATTAAAAGCTTACATAGAATTGAACAAATATTTTTTTATTTAATGTTGATGAGTATCGATTTTTGAAAAAATATGAATTTAATTTTTATATACTTATTTAAAAACGAATGAATAATATTAAAATAAAAAAACTATATTAATTTGAATCATTGAGTGGTTAAGCCAAAACATTATTTTAATTATTTAATTCAAAAATAAATAAATAAATAGTAAATGCTTAGTGTAGAAAAATAATATTATTATAATATGATCGATATATTAATAGCATATGACTATATTAAAAAAATGATAAATTAAAGTAATACATTTTAAATAATTAAAATAATTAAAAGAAAACACTAAAACAAAATAGGACTAAATCACAATACAATTAAAATTTAAAATTTTAATAAAAATTATTAAAAGCTTATATCGAATTGAACAAATAATTTTTTTTATTTAATGTTGATGAGAATATCGATTTAAAAAAATATATATAATGTTTAATTTTTATATATTTATTTACAAAAGAATGAATAATATTAAAATAAAAAACGATATTAATTTGAATCATTAAATGGTTAAGCTAAAACATTATTTTAATTATTTAATTCAAAAATAAATGAATGCATAGTAAATGCTTAGTGTAGAAAAATAATATTGTTATAATATGGTCATAATATTAATAGCATATGACTTTATTAAAAACAAAAAACAAATTAAAGTAGTAAATTTTAAATAATAAAAATAATTAAAAGAGAACATTAAAACAAAATGGGACTAAATCACAATACAATTAAAGCTTGAAATTTTAATAACAATTATTAAGAGCTTACATAGAATTGAACAAATAATTTTTTTTATTTAATGTTGATGAGAATATCGATTTTTTAAAAAATATGAATTTAATTTTTGTATATTTATTTACAAAAGAATGAATAATACTAAAATAAAAAATAATATTAATTTAAATCATTGAGTGGTTAAGCCAAAACATTATTTTAATTATTTAATTCAAAAATAAATAACTAAATAGTAAATGCTTAGTATAGAAAAATAATATTATTATGATACGATCATAATATTAATAACATATGACTATATTAAAAAAAAATGACAGATTAAAGTAGTAAATTTTAAATAATAAAAATAATTAAAACAAAATGGGACCAAATCACAATATAATTAAAATTTGAAATTGACAAAAAATAAGTATAGAAAAAATTGAAGACGAAAGTGCTAAAAAAATGACATGAATAGTAAAAGGAATAGTAATTTGTGAGTGCATGAATAGTGGTTTGTAAGTGTGTGAATAATCTTTCAAATAGTGAAAATGAACAAATAATTAAACGTTTACATAGAATTGAACAAATAATTATAATAGTGTTTCAATTATTAAAAGCATACATAGAATTGAACAAATAATTATTATTTTTATTTAATATTGATAAGAATATCAGTTTTTGAAAAAATATGAATTTAATTTTTATTTATTTATTTACAAAAGAATGAATAATATTAAAATAAAAAATAATATTAAGTTTAATCATTGAGTGGTTAAACCAAAACATTATTTTAATTATTTAATTAAAAAATAAATAAATAGTAAATGCTTATTGTAGAAAAATAATATTATTATAATATGATCATAATATTAATAACATATGACTATATTAAAAAAATAATCAATTAAAGTAGTAAATTTTAAATAATTAAAATAATTAAAAAATACTAAAATAAAATAGGACAAAATCACAATACAAGTAAAGTTTGAAATTGAAAAAAATAAGTATAGAAAAATTAAGGACCAAAGTGCTAAAAAAATGACATGAATAGTAAAAGAAATAGTGATTTATGAGTGTGTGAATGGTGTTTTAGATAGTAAAAATGAATTGTAAAACCACGTTTTACTTTAGATTTTTTTAGTAATTTTCATGTTCATTTTTTATCACTTTTTGTACGGTATGAAGTATTTTTTTTTCTTGTTTTTTCATTCTATACTAATTCTCACGCTTATTTTCTTTTTTCTTTTTTTTAAGTGTAGGTTGCAATAATTAATTAACTATCCATTCAAGTCATGGATTTGTTTATGTAGATATTTCATTTTAGTTATGGAAAATAATTTTTTTCTTGCATGCTACATGTTAAATTTTGTAATTGATTTTTCAATATACACTAAACATTTAAAAATGTTTTTCGACTGATCATTTTCCATGGCACGATCAAACATAGCAAAATAATTCATTTTTAATGATAACTAAAAAATTCTATTATTTTAAAAAGTTAATAACTCGAATATATTATTTTCCAACTCAATTGTTATCATATGAACAGAGGCTAAAAATTGATCATCAACTCATTTTTCGTGATATAATTAAAT